AACATCTCTCTCTCTCTCTCTCTCTCTCTCTCTCTCGTAGAAACGAGAATGAATCTTGCGCAATAATGCAGAAGATTCATTCTCATTTCTACGAGAGAGAGAGAGAGAGGAGAGAGAGAGAGAGAGAGAGAGGGAGGGAGGGCGTCAGCTAGTTTCTGACGGCGATTTTGGTTGCATCAAACTCGCCGTCAGAAACTGGATGACGCCCACTCTCTCTCTCTCTCTCTCTCTCTCTCTCTCTCTCTCTCTCTCTCTCTCTCTCACCAAACTCGCCGTCAGAAACTGGCTGACGCCCTCTCTCTCTCTCTCTCTCTCTCTCTCTCTCTCTCTCTCTCTGTCTCTTAGAAACGAGACTCGTTTCTACGAGAGAGAGAGAGAGAGAGAGAGAGAGAGAGGGAGAGAGAGGGCCTCGTTAGACCCTCCTTGAAAAATCCTCAGGAATTAGGACGAAGTCCTTGGAAAATTTCAAGGAATTCGGCGGTGTCGTTACACCACGTCCTAAACAAAAGGGTCCCAAGGAAAAACCTTGGAGGTATCTCGCGGCCAATTTCATACGCATATACGAGGCCGCGGGGGAGGATATCCGTCGTCGTCGTGGTCCACTGGCGGCGCAAGGAGGCCTGCGACGCTGTGCTGCGTAAAGAGGCGCGAAGGTTTCTTTTCGAAATTCGAATTTCAAACCCTCATTACATACGCACGGGCGCGTCGTGGCGTTACCACCCCCAAAGCTACCAGTGTGAGAAACGTGTGCGAGGTCGATTTGCGGCTCCCATCGTTGTTGGCGACCGGCACGGTGCGAAAGGTGACGACGTTGGAGCGCGTGAAGTGGTGCGTGTCCCACTTTCCTCTTCCTGCAGACGACGACGATCCGGTGGCTCGCCATAGCTTCATGCGCCTCATTCGTGTACGAGGAGCTGCCCTCGCCAGAGCGTCCGCTGGGACAGTGTGCGACGAGGGTCCAGTCGTCCGTCTGTTGTGCGTGTTCAACAAGGCCCCGTCAGAGCTTCGTGATGGAACACATGTCGCTGGAGGTTCGTGGCAAGACCTTGAGCAGGGTGGAGAGAAATGCGGTGGTTGCAGCAGTGTCGGCGGTGGCCATGCGATGTCGCATCGAGAGAACGACGGCGCGGTTCAGGACGAGAGTGTCTATTCAGGCAGCGTGAGCTCCTCCAGCACGTGATGGCGGCGCCAGACTGCGTGTCCATGTCCGAATCCATTATCCAGTTCTGCGCCACCATGTCATCCAGGGTGATACCGCGGGCGACTCCAAGGTGGTGGATGAGGAGAAGGACGGGTGGCACGTGGGAGGATCTGTGGAAGATGGACGACGCCTTAGACGAGTACTACAAGGAAAAGTTGAGGATGTCCCCCAGGGTGTTCATGGAGATCGTGGAGGTGTTGTCTCCTCTTCTGCAGCGGCGGGTGACATTCTACAGGGTTCCTTTGCAGTCGGATCACATCATCGCATATGCGTTGTACCGATGGGCGACCGGGGAGACGTACGAGAGCAGTACGTCGTCATTCGGAATAGGGCGGGCATCCGGGTTGATCACAGTGGAGGACGTTACGAGGGCACTCCTGAGGGTGTACGATGACAAGATCGTTTGGCCTACTGGGATGCGTCGTACGCTCGTTCTGTGTGCCTTCGAGGCGAAGGGCTTTCCCAACTGCTATGGCTGCATAGACTGCACGCACGTTTACGTCGACAAACCGGCGAACGCTCCTTCAGAGAACTACTTCGACCGGAAGCATCGTTTCTCCGTTGTAGCGCAGGTGGTGGTGGACCTGGACTTGCGCATCACGGACGTTTTAACGACCATTTCGTCAAAATGGACATTTTTTATTTTTTGAACGAAATTGAAACTGAGTTTTTTGGCCGAAAACTCGTCAAAATTTGTTGTTCCTGAGGGTCGAGCGTTTTACAAACGCTGGACCCCCTGGTTGTACATGGACCTAGCTTGAGACCAGGTACCTCCAGGCAGTCCTGCCTGGAGGTACCTGGTCTCAAGCTAGGTCCATGTACAACCAGGGGGTCCAGCGTTTGTAAAACGCTCGACCCTCAGGAACAACAAATTTTGACGAGTTTTCGGCAAAAAAACTCAGTTTCAATTTCGTTTAAAAGATAAAAGATGTTCATTTTGACGAAATGACAGTTTTTCGTCGTTTACCCAGGGAGCTGCCATGACATTCGTGTGCTTCAGCTCTCCAGTCTGTGGGCGCGTGCGGAGGAGGGGGATCTTTTCCGTTGACCTCCTGTTGTGCTGCCGTTCGGAGTGAGGACACAAGGTTACATTCTGGGCGACAACGAGTATCCGTCGCTGGAGTGGATTGTCACGCCGTACGGGGGGACCGATCAAATCCCCGAAGAGGAGAGGTTCGACAACAACCAAAAGGTCGCCAGGGGAGCAGTGGAGAGAGCTTTCGGGAGATTGAAAGGGATGTGGAGGTTGTTCCTCCGCACACACAAGACGAATATGGACAGTCTCCCTCAACACTTCCAGGCCGTGTGCATTCTGCACAACATCCTTCTTGACGCTGGCATGGACTTCGACGACAACTTGCTGTGGGAAGTGGATGTTAATGGCGTGCGGCGGCAAGTGGACTTGGGGTTGGATCATCCACCCCATCCCATTGCTGAGAACATCAATCGGCCCCGTGCGTTGGCGCTATGCGAGGCGTTGGCCGAGCGGATGAAACATGTGTGAAGGTGCGCACCCCGTCGACGACACGTAGCTGTAGCGTCCATTTCGAGGTCGTGATGGGGTCATCTTTCACCGGAGGTGGTCTGTGTTGTCTCGGTGTCGCAGGAGTGCGTCGTGCCCTGGAGAGTTCTTTCGCAGTCGTTTTCCTTTGTTGTTGTTAACTAGGAAGTAGTGTGTAGTTTTCGCCTGGTGATGTGCGTTGTCGTGAGTGAGTGCGCGCAGCTGCGCAAGTTCCATATCGAAGAAGACGGTGTCTGTCGGTTTTTGTGGTTTGAGTCCAGAGGAGACTCGTTTTATTTCTTCAATTTTTAACTGTGTTCTTCTCTACGAACTTCCGGGTGAGTGTGTGCGCCTTTTAGTGGTCTGTGACGATGGTGTGTTTCAGTGTCTTTGGTATGAATCCATAGTGTTTTTTTTATTTTTCTTTTTATTGTTTATTTTCTTTTTCCTTTTCTTTTCTCGTGTGTTGCAAGTTGAAATCTCAGGGGCGATGTGTGCGCGTTTCATTGATGTGTTGCCTCCTCACCAGGATCCAAGTGTGCATGCGATTTTTTTGGACCTTTCACTGCACTTTCATCAACACACCGAAACCCACTCCACCCCCGTGCTCGAGTACCTGGAGCGTTGAACCGTAGCTTGGACAAGCCTGCCGGCTAACCGATCAACCGATCATTGGGTCAGTTCATCGGCTTGCCGGCAGAGTTGTTTGTACTCAACTATAGTGATCATTGTGTTCATCACATCGACAATCAACATCTGTTCCAATCAGTCAATCAACGATCACAAACAAAAACAATATTCACACCGATCAAGAGAAATTGAAATGAGAAGAAACGCGTCGTCATATTCAAACACGACTGGACCTTTATATTGATGGACTCCAGTACACGAAACAATCTCACAAAACCCGATCGAAGTTTGACAGTCGTTAAAAAAAAGACTAATAAAAGGCGCCAGTCGTCTATTGGCGCAGACTAACCATCGCATTGACTTAACAATGCACCATGAAATACCCTTCAAAGCCAACCTCTCTCGGAAGTCAGTAAACAACTACCAAGCGTCGGCGGGAGACGCGACACCCTGCGCACGTGCGACGTGGCGAAACGGGAAAACAATATTCTAAGCGGCCCTCTCGTGGCGAAACGACTCAATGCATGCTAACCATTTGGGCTCATCACCAACATCCCTCGCCTCCAAGCCGCAATTCCGACCTCCCCCCCTCCCCCCAACCCGAACCCTCTGCCGATCCAACACTCCCATTTCCCGCCAAATCCAAACCTTCACGATGGACCGCTTCACTCCATGGGCGATGCCTTCTTCCATGTCACGCAAGACGGCCATAACGAGGATATTCACGCTCCTGTTTCGTCTTGTGGACCGTCCCCCTTTCGATCGCCTTCGAAAGGTCCCGTCCCCATCCACTCCATTCTCGCCGCGACGTCGGGGTCCGGCAGGCCAGCGTGGTAGTTGAACCGCACTCCGCACGAAGCCCACTCCGGGATGTGGTCAAGGAAAGCGCCCAGCGTCAACGGTGGCTTCCATTGGCGACTTAACACTGCGTTAGCCGAGTGCATCACATGGCGGCGCCAGTTGAAGGACGATGAACAGGACGCCACTAGAGTCGGCTTCGCCACTAGCTGCGCATAGTACGACGCCTCGTCATAGGAGCGCGCATCATCGCCTCCCATACGCATGATCCAGCGAGAAGCAGGCGGGAAGCATCCCCGATTCTACTCAGTCTCTGGTGGGACAATCTAGTGTCGTCCCACCACTGCCCGGCTAGGAGCGCTTCGTGGAAGAAGGATGCCAGATGCATCACAGTCGCCTCCTGGTGCGTGGCCATGTCATCATCCTCCGGCCTGTCCTCGATATACACCCCGGCGAACCACAATGGGATGTCCATCTTCAAAGCGACCGTGTGGTAAACCACGCTGGGCGGCACTATCCTGGACCACTCCAAGCTCTGCCAGACTGCTCTCGCCAGGTCGGTGGGGTAATCCACGACGACGTACGACTCCGCGCGGGCGAAGCCATCGTACCTTGAAGACGACCTGAATATCCAGCCGTGGATGACGCGCATTGCCACGTTCTCCGTTCGTCTCGCCCGTCGCAGAGCTGGCTCTCACTGCGAGCCATCTTCGATCCGCAGGCGTGGGACTTCGGGGGGCGGCATGATGAGGCCTTGCGGAGCGCTGACGCCTGCATCTCCATTGACGATCGCGCAGTAGTAGTCCGCGCAGGAATGCACAGCGTCCGCGATCATCCGTCCGAGACCGGTTCCCCATAACGTTTTCCCGTCTACCCAAAGCTTCGATTTCGCCTCCAACTCCTCCTCCTTGCGGGACCTTTTCTTCCTCATGCTCAGAGGCTGGCCGTCCTCATCCTCCCCAAGCGGACTCTCCTCCCTCCTCTCCTGTTTTCTCGCCGCCTCTTCCACTCTCCGATCTTCTCGCCTTTCTCCAACAGTGGCGGCGGCAGCATGGACAACGGCGCTCAGTGCTTGCGCGGAATAAAGGACAGCCGGCGACGAAGCGCCAACAATCGTCGTGTTCAAGGCCTCCACGTGGCGCGGTGGAGACTCAGTGACTGGACCTTTATCGTCGCGCTCCGACACGGATGCGATGGTAGATGTAGAACCCACGGCCCTCTGCGGCATAATGTCACCGATCACAACCCCTTGCGGACGCGTCGTCCCCCCAGCGCCGGCGATCCGCAAAGACGGCAGGATGCCAAGGTTGGTGAGCGCAAGCATACGCTCCCTGCTCACACCGTCTCGCCCGAACCCGCGCGTAGGCGTCCCTCCGCCCGTGATGTTCATAGGCGTCACCTCCTCTCCCCCCTCACCTCCCGTCTCGCCTTCCGACCCGTCTCCCACGCGTAGCTTCTTCGACTTCGGGACGTGCCCCCTTCTTGTTTGGTCGGCACCCGCTTCGTCGGACCCAGTGCGTTTCGTCGGCCCCTGCTGTCCACGTGGCGCCATTCGCTGACGATCCGATGCGCTCCGCTCCCGTGAACGAAAGGGGACTGCCACAACGCTTGAGAAAAACGTGCTAGCGATTGTCTTCCGCGGGCGATGATCAGCTCCCCGTGCAGTGCAAGCCAACCCCCACCCGTCGCCTTGCGGGCACTCATCAATAGAAAGACAGGGACAAGATAGCGCACGCGTGGACCTTTATGGTGCTCGCGGTGACCTTTCCCCTCCAACGGCGTGCGGGTCCCACCCAAACGGCCTCAAGCACACCCCTCCAGGCGACCGCAGCGACGATCACCCATTCGGCATGCGGGCAGACCACCCGAAAAACCATGCCACCCCCCTCAAGATTTGTCCCTTATAGCTCTGGCGATCTCCATCAACGCCGTGCACATCATCCTGTTCGCCTCGTCGGACGCCACGTAATGCCTCTCCAGTATGTCACACTGCCGCTTCTGGGCTTCAACCTCCCGGTCCAGTATGTCACACTGTCGGTCCAGGATGTTACACTGCCGCTTGCCCGCACCCTCTACCGTGTCCGCCATCAATGCACCGTGTTTCTCCATGACTTCGGCGATGGCGTCGAAGGTTTGCTGGCTCATGTTCTTCCTCTTCCCTGGAGCGCCCGTGCTCCCTGCACTGAACCCCGACTCCCGCGCCGAACCCCCATCTTCGTCGACGCCATCACCCCCCTCTCCACCGGCAGCGGATTCTCCACCAACGGGCGCCTGCCGCTGACCATCCATTACTGGCGGCACTCCTCCGCGGGCACTCGTGTCTGCCACGTTGTCCGGGTAGATGGTTTTGTTATTTTGCGACATGTTGTCGATCTCGTTGTACACTCGCTCATCCATTCAGAAGTTGAAGCCCTCCTCCGTCCTCATTGCAGGAGTCAATATGAAGAAGTTCTTCCCCACGGACATGTTCTGGTAACGCTGCACCTTCTTGTACTGCTGGAAGACGTTATCCCACTTCTTGCTGATGTCGTTCGTTGTCTTGTTCACTCCCACCTCCGCCAGCCGCGTTTGCAGGTCCTGTAGCTTCCACTCCCTGTTGCGCATGCGGCCGTAGTTGTGCGGCATTCCCTCGAAATGAGCTTGTTGATCCCGCTTCGCTCGAGCGAGCTTCAGCATCTCCTCCACACTCCAAGCTTGGTGCTTGCCGCCCTTGTCTCCCACAGGAGCATTCGATCCTCGACCACCACACGAAGCGGCCCTCTGTTGACGTCCGACTCCTCCCCTCCGCCCACCGCGCGCAGCCACGGGTCGGATCTCCAGCCCCTCAGCATCTTCCGCGTCGTCTTCGTAACGGGAATCCGGAGAGTCATCCCCACTCGCCCGACGGTTGTCGTCCGCATCCATGTCGCTCCCCACACGCAGCCTGGACACACCGGTGGTGATGTTGTCCGCGCCAGCACGCCGCATCTGTTGGCGGCAGTTCTCCCACACCTGCCTCCCGATCTCTTCCGGCGGAGTGGCATCATTGAATGCAGCACTTGCGGTCGCCCTCTGCCGCATTGCAGGCGAAGATACTGCGGGGCGGGTGGGTGTCGCTGCCCTTGACAACTTAGCAGGTGGCCCGGCGCCAACGGAACTGGAGGGCAGTGGACGACACCCATTCGTTGGCCCGCCGACACGGGACGATCTTCCTCCGAACGTCGGCGCTCCCACCGTGCCCACCGCTATTTGTGCGACAGCCGTGCCCCCGCCGTGGGCCGGACCACTTGCACCAGTCCCGCTGGACAATCCGAAATCCAAGTCGACAAGCTTCGTGGTCCGATTGTCGACACCGTCATCCAGAAATGCGGAGAACGACTCACGCCCGGTCCCTGCTTCCCTCTGCTGGCACTACCTGCTCGTCCAGTCCTGCGTAGATCCACTCCCCAGAGGAAGTGTGTGTGACGGATCCTCTACCCAGGCGTCCTCCGGATCCGGCGGCAACGGCTGCTGGTGAGGTGGAAGATGATTGTACAACGACGGGTAATATGCGATCGGTCGATGCCCTGACAGGGGCCGATCAGGAATGGAGAATTCCATGACACGTCTTGCATGTCCGACGGATCTCTCCCGCCTGTCCATTGTCGTCTTCCTATGCACTTGTCGTCTTTGTTTACGTCCCGGAGTCCGCGGCACGACACAGGCGCGCAAGAAGACGAGAAGAAGCAGCAGAAGAGTGGCCAGTAACAGGAGCGGCAGCCGTCGGAAGATGTCTGCCATGAATCGCACCACGTGTAGATGACCAGCGAACGGAGATCCCTCACGCGCGCAGGCGAATGGCAGGAAACGGGCCGGCCGGCGAGAAGATAACACCACGTCGACATAAAAAATTCAAAAAATTCGACCGTTGGGCACGACGCCCGACGAAGCGTACAAGGAGAACCCCACCGCTCCGACCTCTGTCGCACCCGAAGTAGCACCCCCGACCGTCTACGCGCGAACGGTAACACCACAAGGCCGTTGGTGGCCTCCCGCCTACTGAAAGTCGATATTGTCCGCCCGATGGGCCACAGACGTCATGTGCACTAGCAAAAACAAAAACTTTTCGTGTCGACGCACGCTCGACGACGGCCCGTCTATCGCGGATCCTTGAGCTCGAGGGACCTCTCGACGACCCCTTGAATCCAAGGACGCAATGGCTGGGGATTCCGAGGGACCCAAGGAAATCTCTTGGGAGTGTTTTCACAATTTTTCAAGGAGTTTTGTTTTTTAGGACGCGGTGTAACCATAACTTTCGAGACTACGTTTGGGCGCAGCGCTGCCGGGAGCGCTGCGCCCGGTCCGAATAGCGCTTTCACACGGTGTGGCTTCACGGCGCGGTTTCGCCGTTGCGGTTGGCGACGAGGGGCGCGGCGCGAGTTTCACGGCGCGGCCATGGAAGCAACGAAGATTGATGTGGAGAGGCGTGTGAGGGGACGGTGTGCTGATTGCTTATGTGTTGGATGGGTGTGTTGTGCATGGGGTTCTCTAGAGAGCTGACTCGCTGGTGGGGCGTCTTCCATGAACTTCCCCCGTTCTCCCTCTTTGTGTGATTCGTGATCTCTCTTCTCCTCACTAAAACCAGCATAGGCTCCCGAAATCGTTCTCTGCTGTGGAATTAACGAAGAACCGAGGGAGTGGTTTTTAGTAATGATGGGGCAACAGCGCTAGGAAGTATAGCGGAAGGGACGGTGTGTTGGTTGAGTTTGTTTGAGTATGCCGGTCCCTGCTGTGGAACAAGGCGAGCTGGTTTGGGCGCTGGTGGGGCGCAGCGCTATGAAGAACCGACGCTTTTGTCAAGGGAGCGGAGCTGAGCGATGACGAATTGTCACGAAGACTGGATGACGTGCTATGGGTGGTGACGATGTGGTTTGTCCACGTGGTGTATGGGCGCGTTTGTAGTTTATTGGATTTGAAGTATGTGGCTATTCATCAAGCGGGCGCGTGGAGGGAGGAACTGTGGTATCGTGGCGCACATGTGTACGGTAACGAGCTTGGTGAGGAGGTTTTCCCTCCTCTCTTCTCCAAATGGTGAGGTAAGTAGAGGATTATAGAGGTTCGAACCCCCTGTGGAGTCTCGCTAGCGGGCCTAGTGAGAGGAGCCACACCGTTGTTTGGTCTTTGCTAATGGAAAGCGGAAGACGGCCGTCGAAGTCTTCGGTACTAGCGTTGCTTGTTGCCTAGTAGCTAGTAATGGGAGGAAGGGGGTTTCCTTCCTCCCCCGAAGGTGTTGGGGTAGGGTTTGAGGGGGATGTATGGTAAGTAAGGGGTTGTGGAGAAGAGAGGAAGGGGGTTGTTTGATGGATGATTACCCGTATTGACATGTGCTGGCCTGGTTAGCTGCTCCATCCGCCCAATTCGTTGATCATTAGTTCTTGAATTTCAGAGGGTAACTTTTAAATCGATATTAAAGGTCTGATTGATTTCGTGATTTCTGACTTCTGGTATTTGCGCCTCAGATGCCTAATGGATCACTTTTCATTCTTGATTTCGGAAGTTGGAATTTAATTCCAATACTTAAGATAGCTGTCTGAAATCTGTGCTCTGAATTCCTATCTCTGAGATTAATTACACTTCAACAATAGACTCGAGTGTGATTTCCTAATTACAGTTCCTAGATAAATTCATAATCCTATTTCTGGAATTTGAAGTCACCGGTTTTCTTGATTGATTTTATGAAGTGAATTGTGAATTGAGTGGTCTAATTTCAGCAATCATAACTCCTACGGGATCTCTCAAATAAGATTCTCAAATATCTTCCTAAAAAGCTTCTATAAAATTTCTGAAAATTTCTGATTCTATTTCGTGCCATATATCCTTGCTAAACGTTTCTCAAACTGTGGTTTGGGACTCTGATTCGAAAATCCTTTATGGATATCTAAACTTAAAATTCGCATAATCCTTTGTGAATTTTGCCGCTCAATAGTTTCCTTCTCAGTGAACGTATGGACTTGATTTTCGTCTTGATTTCTGATACAAACTCGTTTCTCCTAAATCATCCTTGGAATTTACATCCCAACCCATTGATCGTAGGGACTTGATTTTTTCTTCATTTCTGATATAAGTTCATTGATCTTGCTGCTGTAATCTGATCCCGTTGCATCTTATTGCATCGTAATTTTCATTTAGTTTTGCCTAATTTTGCTTGTTTTCCCTTAAGGAGGGGGCTGTATTGAGGGAGTAGGAGGATATGAGGGAGGGAAAGGACGCGCTCTGTAGGAAGTGGCTAACTGCAGAGTGGAATTAGGGCATAGCAGCAGGGAGATGGTGGCTCCACTACAGTAAGTCTTGCCGGAGTAAGGTTGGGTAGGTGTTGGTGGTGGGCGGTATCAGTTCCCTTCTTAGGGTGTTTCCCCTATTTGAGATGCTTTTCGTACGGGGGGTTGAGAAGGCTGTGGGGTAAGAGGGGGAAAGGGGGGCAACCGAGGGGGGACTATTGGTTTTGTTAGTAGATCAGAAGGAAGGGGCTGAGACGACGCAGGCTAGTGCTGGAGTGGTTTTGCTCTGTGACCCGGAGAGGAGCATGAGGCTTGGGGAGTTCTGTCGAGGGAGGAAGATAGAACCAGCACTTTCGACGTGGCCGTAGCTGGGGTGTATCCCTGTCACCGTTTTGGGGCGTGCGGCTATGGGGAGTTGCCGAGGGTGGAAGGCACTCCTCACCATCGTCGCTAGGTTGGTCGGTAATGGGGCTTGGTGGGGTCCTGTAACTCTAGCATGGGAGGGTATGAGACCAGTTGTGTGTCGCTTGAGAACTGAACACGAGACCTGTAGTTTTCTCCAATAGTTGCGGGGAGAGTGCAGTCCGTACTAAGGTTCTCTGGTTCTAGATCCTGGGTAGTACTTAGCCCTTACATGTAACTGGGGTGTAGGAGTTCAGAGAGGGTCACAACAGGACTGACATCCGAATAGCTAATTTGTTTTGTGCCCCTGTTTTGCCGATGCCAGAACGACGCTGGTAGGAGTTGGGGCATCGCCCTGTGACCTGCAATTCGCAGGAGCATGAGGCCTTGTAGAGAGATCTGGGGTTTGCCGAGGGTGGAAGGCAAGCCAGTGGCAAATCGGGGGGGGCTGCGTAGTGGCAAGAAGAGATTCAGCTATGGGTGATGTTGGTATGGTTGGTACTGTCCCTGAGTGAGTATGTCCCGGGGAAAGGAGGGCTAGGAATTACCTTAGGAGTTTAGTTCCAAAAATTTTCGTAGGATTTCTCAAAATTTTCAAAAAATGTTGCAATCTGTCCTTAAAAGAGGGGGTAGTCTGTTTTGCCCTCAAAATGTCTCCTGGATTCTGGGGACTCCTGGCAACCTTGTTTAGGTGGTACTGAGGCTGTTATACTCGGTGTCCTGCGGCTGTTCGATGCCAGAACAACACTGGCCGGTGCTGGGGCGTTGCCCTGTAACCTGCTGATGCAGGAGCATGAGGCCTGGTGGGGTGAGTTGTGTTGCCCTGTAACCCAGCAGGATGAGGGAGTGTGAGACCTGGAAGAGCTCGGCACGGAGTAAGACAGTGTTGGAGAACCTTGGAAGGTTGTGATTAGGAATTTCGCGGGTTCAGGGGTATTTGCATGACTTCGGCAGGCTATTCCCATACCTTTCGAATAACGGTAAGTTTTCTCAGATGGCGTTTCAGCCAAGCCGGGTAACAGGTAAGAGAGGGATCGAGGATAGTGAGAGAAAGACACCACGCATCCTACTAGTGAAGGGGCCAGCTGGTAGGATAGAAATAGGGCATAGCAGCAGTAGAGATGGTGGCTTTGCTGCAGTAAGTCTTGCCGGAGTGAGGTAAGAGGACTGATGGTGGATCCTCGAGGGTTTTTCGAACTTTGTCTGACTCTGAAATTTCCTGCAAAAAAAAAAAAAAAAAAAAAAAAAAAGGTGTAACCATAACTTTCGACGCCCAAGTGCGTTTCCAAGGAGGGTCTAACGAGGCCCAGAGAGAGAGAGAGAGTGTAGCGGACCTCGGGTTGGCCTGTGAGACCAGCCCCTTGGCCTGTTCTCACAGGCCTGTGTTATATTCGGGGTAG